TTTCCCTACTTGAACTTCTTGTCCGAAGGAATTAGACAATAGTGACATAAATGTCCACACGAATATCACAAATTTGAAAAGTATTTATGGGTGGTTACAGTTTAAGGAAAATTGTCAACATGAAAATGAGCAGTAAGTTACCATGTACATTTTCTTTTAAAGATTTGTTTGTTATATGGGTTGAAATTAATAAATCTACTTTCTAAATTCATTTTGAAATGTCACCACCGCACGAGAGCAAATTTCAAATCTTGCCTAGGGCTTCCAAGATAATTAACAAAAGAGAACCATTTTATAACAGACGTTTATGGAAAAAAAAAAAATCAAGTACATCTTTTGAAAAAAGATGCACTTGTTTTATCTTAGCAAAATATTTCTTACCTTCATTTTAAAATTTGACAGCAAGTATGTCACAAAATTCTAAATATTAGGGATGGCAATACATGAACTGTCAAAACAAGAGTAACTTGTAGAGATTTCTAAATCTTTCTTGTAAATTTCAAAGCATGTTTTTATTTTTAATAGGGTAAATCAATTTTCCATCCTTCGCAGGCTCCCATAAACCACCTCTTCTTCCCAGTACACACCTGTAGAGATGTCCTAACATTTCATGAGGAATGCTTCTAGCAATGCCCATCTGTTAGCCACCCCTGATGCTTGGCTTGCTTGCTCACTTACATGCTTTCGTGTGGATGATCTCACCTACAGCCTCCAATGATTTCATCACACTCAAGTTTCATTCTAATTACAATAACAGTTGCTTTCTCTAAGCAGTTATCTCCTATAGCCTCTCTTCTACCCTGAATACATGAAGTTGTATAGTTTAAAATGTGCCAGGCACCATTAAAATGCTTTTACTATGATAACTCACTAAATTCCTACAACATCCTTGTCAAGTGAGTATTATTATGCCCATTTTACAGATAAAGAAAACTGAGGTGATTACATAGCCAATGGTAGAGCCAGAATCCCAGTCAAGCAGTCTGGCTCTCGAGAAACTGTCCATTAACGCTAATGTTACCCTGCCTCTTATATCAAGACTGTTTTTGTGAGGATAGCCACCCTATTATCTCTGAAAATGTCGGAAATTTTAAAAGAAAAGGAGGGACGAAAGGAATCAGAAGACTCATAAACAATTGCCTTCCCAGTCTATAAATGCCACCAGTCAATAAAAAATTGAAATGGAATGTTAAATGGAATGAAGAATAGAGTAAAACCAAAAACATACTGAGATGATATTGTGAACATTAGCTTCTTTTTTGCTTTATCTTTCAGCTTGACTAACTTGAATCGGTTCCAAAGGTGATGTTTATTCCAGTCTTTTAAATTAGAATGTTAATTAGTCAATCTGGTTATACAGTTGGAAGCTTTTCCTCTTTTGTGGCTATTTGATGTAGTTCAAGTATTTGTTGGTACTAGTAAAGTTATATTAAAAATTAGGTGCGTGTTAATGATTTAAATCTGAAGTGATGTGAATAGAAGCTACTAAAGTGCAAATCAGCGAAGAATTGGTCAGGTGTGAAAACTATATCCCAGCAGATTTAGGGGCTTAAAGGTACATTTCATTTATTAGATTTATATGAATCTATGTCCTCTGCAAATCTGCCTGGGAGAAAGACAGGTCAGTATTAAGGGATAGCTGTTTTTTCTTTTACTTTATTTATTATATTTATTTATTTTAATTTGACCAAAGAAGGACAAAGAGAGAGAGAGAGAGAAAGTGAAAAAGCAAGTTACCAGGTCCAGGATTTGAACTGCAGTCAGCCACATGGGAGTCCAGCACTCTTAACCACCATGCCACCTGCTGACCCCAAAGGATGGCCATTTTTTTCAAGCACAGGTTTGTGCTATTATGTGGAAGTGGTGTGATCACAGGAATGATAATATGATTATCAGATAATATGATTAGTGTGGTAGGCAGAATAATGCCTATCCCACCACACACAATTTCATCCACATCCCAATCTGTGGAACCCGGGAATATGTACGGTTACATGGCAATGGGGAATTAAGGCCAGAAATAGAATCAAGATTGCTAATCAGCTCACCTTGAAATGGAGAGATTAGCCTACATCACCCACGTGGGCCCAGTTTAATCATAAGAGGCCTTGAAAGTGGAAGAGGGTAGCAGAAGAGAAAAGCTGGAGGGGGATATGGCCAAGGAAGAGGAATAAT